CTACCCCTAATTAGCAGGAAAAGTGAGGAGTGAAATGCAAGGAAATTGCATGAAGAATAGTTTAAATGGGGGGGGTGTATTTGCAAAGAACTAAAGGGCAAATGTGGAATTCCTAAGAAAGAGTAAGGGTAAAATGGGAAAGAGTGGAGAAAAGATGAGATATTAAGGGTTTAACTTTAGAAACCCTTCATTCTTCTTCTTCCACCACCATACTCATTCATCCTTTTCTCTCAACTTTCCATCCAATCCTTTAAGGATTCTAAAGGGCTTTTGAGTAGTTTGTGGGTAGAGAGGTGATCTAAGGCAGTCTAAGGTAAGGACCTTTACTCTAGATGTAATTCTTTAGCTATAAAGGTGTTAAAGTCTTATTGTATTGTTGTTTAAAAGTGTAGAGAAAAGGCATCTACCAAAGGAAAAAAGAAGTGCTAGTGGAATCATACCATCACAAGGTAAGTAAATCCCAACTCAAGTTAAGATTTGAGAATTCTCTTGAGTAGAGATTTAGTAGAAATTATGTATGCATGTTATATGTATGTTATTGAGAAACAGAGTAGAGATATATGCCTACTTGTTGAGAAATTAAATTGAGATGAGTATTCATGTTGAGTTTGTTGGATACATTTCTTTTATAAGAAGTGTTGATATGTGATGAGTTGAGATGAATTTGGAGGAGATTAAGTAGATATTTTGGGAGTGTTCTTGTATGATAGGGGTTATGCCCATGGAAGGGAGCTTACTCCCATTTTGGATGGTTAAAAAGAGAAATAGAGTTGTAGTTAGAGAAGAGTTTTTGTATGCACATGAGTTGTTTGATGAAATGCCTAAGAGAAGCATGAGAATGAATTATGAACTTTAATTCTTGCAACATTGCATATTAGCATTTCCTAAGTGTATTAATGAGCATGAACCATCCTTATTTTTTATTTTTTTTATGCTTATTAGCTAGAGAAAGAGTAGAGACCTTTGTGCTTAAACTACTCTAAGAGCTAAAGAAGAGAATAGAGTAGGTTGTGTGATGGGGAACCCGTGAATGATGAGTAAAGTCACGAGAGTGGGTGCTTTGTGATCCCCAGTCGTGCCTCCGGTCAGATACAGCCGTGACCGTCACGCAGAGTGGAACATGAGGTTCTAGCCGTGCCTCCGGTAAGAAGGGGTCGTGACATTTGAGAGATAGAGAGAAAGCATGTACACTCACATGGCCAAAGGTTCCGAATCCATGCATAATCGAATCCGATCGGTACAGAAATGAGTAGACGTCACGTAGAGTAGGAGAGTTCCCGGCCGTGCCTCCGGTAAGATGAGGCCATGACATTCCCATGAGTAGAATGGGAAACAGAGAAATAGAAAGAACATAAATGAGAAAAGAATAGTGTAAGGAAAGAATTAAGAGAAAGAGTTACAGGGATAGACGAGTAGAGGATTTGCTTACTGAGCATTACTTGTGCTCACCCTGTTGTTTTTTTATGCTTTTTCAGGTTCCAGGTGAGTACGCAGTCGGATGGATGTCAGCAGGCGAAGGGGAGTAGTTACACTGTCCACCACACTTTGATAACTTTTGTAAAGGATACTGATTTTGTAAAAGAATATGTATATTAAATAAAAGAAAAATTTTGGGCCCAACTATTTTTATTAATGTACTCGTATTTTATATATGTGTTTTGATGAGTATAGTAGTATAAACAGCTATCACAGTTTTTTTAGGTTTTGAGAAAGAAAAGGTTTATGGTGAAAGAGAGGCCATGGCTAGGTTTGAGAGGAACTGGTTGAGCTAGATTTTTCTCTTCTATCCTTAATATTAGAGACACGAATTTCGTTTGCCTAAAATTTAGATTGAAGAATTTTCTTCGTCGTCAACCGACATTGCCAAAGTCACATGCCAATCGCCAGCACGACTTGACCACACAACCAGTGTCGGTGCTAGTTTGGCTTTATTTTTTATTAATGTTTTGTAATTTTTTCATGATACTTTAACGAAGGGATTAGGGTTAACCATATATATTGTGCAAAATGATAACAATATCCTTTCACTATTAAAATTAACGTTTCAATTTGAAAGTGGATGCAAAAGTGGGTGGAACGTTGATAGTTTCTGAAACCAGAGTTAGAAAAATGTCGATTCACTGTAGTTTGTGTGGGAAAATGTACTTCAACCTTATATTCACACCCGTCAACAGTAGTGAAACACAAAACACTCATGATAATAAAAAAATATTAAATACCTTTTACTCGGAGGGTTTTAATACTTTTACAAGTAGTAAATTATAATCTTAAGGGGTTAAATATAATTTTAAGGAGGCAAATGATAACTAAAGAGATCTTTTGGAGTTTGGATAATAATCCAAAATGCCCTGTTACGACACCACGTGCTATTCAGCGGAACTAGACAGAAGGCAACATGAGCACGAGAACATGGTGTCTAGACTCTAGACTCTAGTAAAAAATGAAATAAAAAGCAATTTGAAGTTTTATAATACTCTAAACAAAGTCAATATGGATTTAACACAACATTATATGAATATTCTTATAAAATTTGTATTTCAACCGACATATCATTTATCTTTATTTAATAAGTTGACTTTAATTAACACTCTAATATAATGTAACACATCTTTTTATATATTAGTATTTTTATAAAAACTTTATAATAATAGTATTATTCATAATATAATGCCTTCTGCGAACATAGAAGTAGAACCATTGAATATTAAGCAGTCTATTTTCTAGCAAAGTAACAAGAAGTCGTTCCCTTTATGAATGTGAGTAGGGGTAAGCAAAAAAATAAGATAACCTGAAACTGCAAGGTACCAAGCATTGCAGTTCCAGTTCCTACCCAAAATCGACACTGTACAGATAAGTTATGGTTCCCAAATTTAAAAAATCAAAACCTACTTGAGAACCGAAACTGAGACTAGGGCACCCAATTTGGAACCGTCTTAAGAATTGGGACTTAACTGATATTAATAGCATACCTATTGGACTTACTTGATATTTATCATAAGAAAATGAAATGACAGCGTTTGGAATTGAACATGAAACCCCAATATTCAGTTTCCCCTTCTCCGTATTCGGGGTTAAAATATTTGTATTTCTCCTCTCCATTCTCTTCTCTTTTTTATTCTCCTTCATCTCCCTCTGCCTTCCTTTCTGAATGGTATAAATGGGTGGGATTTTGCCGATTCCACCCCGATGGGGTTTGCCATACCAGCCTAATTGTGAATGGTACAATTTCTCAACGCAATTGGAATTGGGTTTGGTTTTGTTATGGGTACCCTACGTCCCTACCCCACCTGTATAACCCAAACTTAAGAATTAAATATAAATTTCATTATGTTCTTTTAGAAGAAGACTATTCCTTTTTTGTTATTTCTTACAGTCACATCTTTATAAAAGGAAAAGAAATTCATCACGCTAAGATCTAAATTCAACTATTCAAATAAACTCTTAATTATATATTTTTAATATATATTTTAAAAGGATAATTTTTTTTATTATCTAAAATATTTATATTTATTTTATTGTTTAAGTTCCTAATATTATATATCTTAATTTATATTTAATTATTATATTAAAATGAGATAGCATTTTGTTACACTGTGTTATAAGTAAATCAAATATATGTATCATAGGTTATTTTGGTAATTTATTATGAAATAATTACTTTTATAATAAATAGTTGAAAAACGGTTTTTTTTTTATTGACAACTAGCAGCTCATTGATAAAAGTTATATTTATATTAGCTATAAACTATAAGTTCAATATGCCATAAGCCCTTTTAGGGAAACTCAACCAAATGGACCTTTATATATATAACTATATCGTAGTTTTAAAATATACTCTTTACTTATTACATGAAGAGTTACTTGGCAATGTTACTATATTCCTTTATTATTTTAACAAACAAATCGTAAATTAAGCTTAAAAATTAATTATTGAAAACAAATTAGATAAATAATGAAAATAATAAACTTATTTATTTTGAACAAACTAGATAAATACTAAAAAATACACATTTACTAATTTATAATAATATAATTGTAATTACGCCAAAAAGAATTATTCAAAAAAAAGCTAGACAAAAATTAAAAATAGATATATTGATTTAATTATTTTTAATCAATTAAATTATAATTATTACTGAAAATAACTATTTTAAAATCTTTTGTGATTAATAAGACTTAAATCCATTTCATAAGGATGTAGATTGGGGTGGGTGATCCCACAACCCATATCCTACCCAACCCATCCCAATATTGGATTCAAGAAATGAGGTCGGTTGGGTTAGGGTGGGCTTTTTAACATGTTTTTGGTGAAAAACTTGGATATGCTTGAAGAGAAAAATGAGTGGGAATTAACCAGCTAATAGTAACAAATAACATCAATTAAAGTCGAGAAGAACCAGAACCACTACTGGGGTTGATTTTGTACATAGGGTAAACTGCTAAAACAAAGGATTATTATTTGGGACAGTCAGATTCTTGAAGAAACTTGTTGCTAAGACATTAAGAATATCTTATCACGCCAGAGTTAAATGGTTAATTATACATTAGCGGAATGCCTTATAGCTATTCCCTAGGAAGTCAGCTTCGCTGAGTCATTTATATCTTCCCCTGATAAAGTTTTGACACTTGAGTTTACAAAAACACAGCTGCTGAGCATTTCTAGGAATGTTACAGCCAGATGGAAATGTGAGATCACTGCCGATGTCTCAAAAGAGTCAAAACAGTTTGCACCCGGCAAAATCAATGATAAGATCAGGCAAAACAGAAAACATAAAACTTAAAATATTCAGTCTGAATGATAAAACCAGATACAGGGTCCAGCATCCTTACAATAAATGTTGTGACACCGACTCATTCAAAGAGAGCCAAAGTAAACCATACAAACATATGTCATCTTAGAAATGGCCATATTCCAAATCAAAATCTAGCAAAGAGTATAGCACACTGCTAACAAGTCAACAAAACCAGATGGATGTATTCATGGAACGCCATTGCTGCTTTAAAAAAGCCTCTACAAGATAGCAACGTCCAAGTAATCACCAATCTACAAAAGGTAAAACACAAAATAACATGAACATATTTGCACTAAATGTTCAAAACAATGCTGAGCTATATAAATATGATGATTTACCTCAAAATTAAGTTCAGCCAATGCTTTACTGTCGTCAATTCGTCTCCCATTTCCATAAGAATGAGTCATTCCCACCTTCAGAAAGACCATGAGATGGACAAGAAATTAACAGCACTAAAAATTGTTCTCAGGTGTTACATGTGCATGTATGGTTGTATGTGTTTTCATGTTGTGCTGTGTTGACCATATTGACACCAGAATATTAGACTATTGTTTCCACCTATTGTTTGACGCAAAAATGTATGGTCAAAGGCTCTCATTGGTAAGGCCATGAACCTGATTTACTCTGTTTCCTTTCTATGGCTCACAAGAAATAATACATGCCCAAAAGGCTCTTACAGGCTATGACATTTTTATGACATACATGGCTTGAAAGAAGTAATGCTATGGGATATCCCATGACTGGGGAAAAGTCAAGTGGAGGGCAGGGTTATAACAGATATTTGTAGGCCAGATCAGAGACCCAAAACATAGATGACATCTAAAATCCATTAGCTTTGTACAATTTGTGCCTATTTCTTTCTTTGCTTATGTGCACGCGATGGGAAAAATATCATATATGCAACATAACAATTGAAGCAAAAGCAAAAGAAAAATGTTTGGCCATTCCCATGTTTGAAGCAGTGAATGCATTCCTAGGAAAAAAAAGAAAAAAGGTGAATGCATTCTTGTAAATGTATGGGCAGACAATGTGATATTCTAGTATGGTTCTAGTTGCCTGAACACATTCATATATAATTTCTGAAGAGAAAATGTTATGGGTACCTGTCTCAGCACAAATCGACCACGTTTATCAGGATATACAAAAGCAAATGACAATTTTGCATTTCTTCTTCTTGCCTCTGGAGCAACCTCTTTAACCTGACAAAGAGCCAGGGTTCTGTAATTAAACACAAATCATGTAGAACAAATAAATTTGACACCATGCATAGAAAGCATGACGTACAAGATCAGTTAATTCACGAAGAGTCGCATCTTTCCATGTATAAATTTGAACCTCATCTTTAGGTTCCTTGCCTCTAACTGCAAAGTCTTCCACACTATGATGACTTCCAATCTGCAAGAAGATGAAAACATAAAATTACCTGCAAACCGAGTTCATTGTATTGAAAATATACTGACAATCCACACATTATACATGGAGACCACATAACCTTTTCCATGTAACCAGCCACCTCAAAATGTAGATGGGGTTAATTAATTTTAACCACACAACAGTTCTAACAAAAATTTCTAATTCCTTTCACCTCACTCTTTAATCGCGCAGAAATCATATAGAAAAATAGAAAATAAATAAGATAATAAAATCTCAAGAAAGCGATGGCCGCCGTTTACTTTAGTTTACATTGTTCCTGCTCACTGCAAATCCTATTATATACTCTCGAACAAATGATACTAAACATAAGAAGAGAAATTATAGCAAATCCAATTAAAAAACTTGTGCATACCTTAGTAAAAACTCGAAGCAACAAAGGGCAAGTCTGCAAAGTAATCAACATAAAAGTTTTCGAAACAATTAGAAGCGGAATCCATCAACCAGTTTATAAAGAATTGATTATGATTTTCTTACCAATTGTATGAATCCCATGGTTGAAATAAAACAAAATTAGGCTAATACGAAGTGGGAGTAGTTTAAACATATAAAGAAAAAATAAAAATTACCTTTTCGCGGTCGACGGGTTCGAAGCGAGGGCGAGGAGGTTGGTTTAGTTGCCGAGATTGAGAAAGGTAGGGTCTTCCAGAGCCTGAACCTGCTCTATTATGGGTTTGAGCTGCAGCCATAGTTTTCCTCTGCTAGTTTTCGCTGTTTTACTAGATTGCTCCGAGTCGCCGTGTGTGGGACTGGGAGTGATTTGACAGCTTTCCGATTGAAGAGGACCGATCAGAACGATGGGGTTTTAAGCCCAACCTAGTCCACTTAAAAGAAGGCCCAATGTTGATAGATTTGTTTTTATAAAATTAAATTTTATCCGTTCACTACAACCAGGGCATACTCTTTCACTTTAGAGTTGAGTTTAATTGATTACAGAGTGACACATTTAAGGAATTGCTGATTTGGGTGTGGCAAGTTTTTTTCATCTACTTTAATTTAATCCTTTTGCTATTTAAATTTTTTTGACAATTTTTTTTCATCTACTTTAATTTCATCTACACATTAAAGAAATAGCTGAAGTTAAGGACTAGATAAACCTCAAATGGTCATAGAAAATCGAACTTATGGTCTCTTGAGTAATACATTAAAAAATATTTATTCGATCACATATTTGTATTTTACATTGCATAAGATAGGATTGGATTGTCCTAGCTTTTTGGGATCGGATCGGATTGGATTGGGATAGAATTGAATAAAAATATAGTATTATCTTGTGCTTAGAGTTTGAGATTGGATAATAATGTATATTAAAAATTAATTAAAAAACTTTTAATATTTATTTTAAGAATATTGTATAGTCATAACATTTTAGATTAATTATTAGATAAAGTTAAAAAAAAAAAAAATTATATAAGATAACTAGTTATAATTATATATACTAAATGAAACATATATTACACCTTAAAATTTTTATATTTATTTTATTAATTCAAAATTTAAATTCTATTTCATAATGTTATCTTAATTTCAATAATAATTATTATTGAATATTTCTACTAATAATTACATTATTTATATAATTAATTAATTGTAATAAGCTTGAAAGAAAAATATATTCGTTATTAAAAAAATTAATTTTAATCAATGATTTAAATTTTTGAATAATTATATTGTGAATAAAAGTATTTATTATTATTCAGTATAATATTACTGATGTTAGATAATAAAATTAAATCAAGTATATTTATATCTTATGGGCAAAACAAGTAGCACAATATCTTTGAATCCGTTAATTTAGGAAACACAATCTAAGAAAATAATTAAGCCTCCAAACAAGACAAGTCCAAATCTCTATCATCTCAATGAAAGTGGAAGATTAAATACATCATTATTGAGTATCCATTAACTTTATGTTTTTCACCCTATGTTGCATCACAAATATTCCCATATCACAAACCATGACTTAAAATTGCAATATTGAATTCAAAAAACGTGAACAGGGATGCAGCTACGTTAGGCCTCACGTAAATTCTTAAAATAATATATAAATAAACCATCTTATCCCAATATTTGATTTTTTCGACTCCCCTTATTTGTTAATTCTTACACTTTGAACCCTCTAATATTAATTTCCAAATTCATTTTATTTTGTAATCCTTTGCGTTTACCAAAGAGTACACTTTTAACTCTCTCGGAGGCTTTGGTTGGGGGTTATCTCTCATAACTGAGGTAATGTCATCTTATATTACTTAGATCACCACGTTTAGTTATCAAGTAATATAAAATTCCAGTAATATTTCAAAACCAATAGTAATTATTATTGGTTATATATGAGGTAATTTGAATACTACCATTTTCTTAGATATTTTAAGATTACCAAGTAAACTTAATTTTGATACAATTTTACCCTTAATTATTAAAAAAATTTGGACAATAATGCCCTTGTTTTGAAAACAAAAAATACCCAAGACTGGTGGCCAAATCTAGCCACCACTGTCACTGGCTGACGGCCAGCCCTACCGGTGGCCGGCGGACGATTGGCCTAATTTGGTCGACCGTGGCCAGAAATGGCTAGATTGCCATAAATCTGGTCGGAAACGACCAGATCTATTCTTGTTGTTAACAGTCAAATCTTTGGTTATCGTCAACAAACAACAATTAGATTATGGCCATTAACGACAGCCATATTATGGCCGTTATCGACAGCTAGATCTTTGGCCATAGATTTGGCCGTTTCTGGCCAGATCCATCCATGGATCTGATCAGAAACGGCCAGATCTAGTTGGTGGTGGCCGATGGCCAGCAGTGGTTTGGGGTGGGTGGGGGTGGTTTTGTTAGAAATTAAATTTGTATGTGGTTGGGGTGTTTTGGCAAAATCTCAAATGTAAGGGGTTAAAAAATGATTCAAAAAATAATATTATATTAATATTTAAAAATGAGAGCAATTTAGTAATCTATATAACATACCCACGAATTTATTTCTCCCAATTAAACGTATCAATATAACAGACCCACTAATTCATTCCAACCTAACCAAACACATTTCCTTAAACATTCCTAGTAATCTTCAAGGTAATAAATTTTTCTATTAATATAACATTTCAAGTGCATTTAGTTCAGGGAATGTTGTATTACTGGGAATGTTATATTAATGGAAAGAAATATTACCTTGAAGATTACTAGGAATGTTTAGGGAAATGTGTTTGATTGGTTGAAATAAGTGGATATGTTATATTAATATATTTGGTTGGGAGGAATAAATTAATGGATATGTTATTTAAATTACTGAATTGTACTCTAATTAAATATTATATAACCCCCTACATTTAAAAACTTAGCAAAAACAACCTCATAATAAAAGTTTAGAAAATCAACAATGCACCCCGACCAACCCAGTCACTGCCGGTCGCCCGCAACCACTATCAGCCGCTTGTAGCTGGTAACCTAATGGCGCATGGAAGGCCAAAAATGGCCTCCATGCGCCGATATGGCCATTTTCTAGCCGAAAATGGCCAAATCGTGACAAATCTGGTCATCGATGGCCAGATCGATAGCCGTTAACAACCACAGACAACCACCATTACAACCCTAAAATCTGGAAAAAGAGAGAAGGGGGGTGGGGGGGGGGGTGATTAAGACAGATAAATAAGGGGAGTAGAAAGAGAATGTTTGCTTGATCAAAACCTCTATAAACACTCAACTCAATAAAAAGAAATAATGGATGTATGCTCGATTCCTTACTCAGCCAAACCACTATGAAAAGCTCGCCTATTTACTTTCACTATCAATCACTATAGCCTTTGATTCCGATCTTGTCCCAATCATCCACGCTCGTCCTTGCTGATCCCCTAGGATCACATACCCATCTTACTTGGTTCCTACTAGGGGTCAACTAAGTTTCTCTGGTTGACGTGTGTTCTTGTCTCGACACTATAGTCCGTAAGGAATTTTGTATCAACATAATTTATTTTTCTTATTATTATTTTTTTTATTTTTTTCTATCTCCAAGCAAAAGAAATTTTATTAAGAGCTAGGCTTATAAAAAACTATTGACAGTTGACGAAATATGGTTTTTAAACCCCCACCCCCCCCCCCAAAAAAAAAAAAAAAAAAAAAAATTGTTGCTTGATCTAGTGTTCGCTAATAGGGAAAGTCTAAACTTTGTTTTGTGTGAGAAATTTGGTGATGTATGACGATATTTTGGTGAGAAAGGTGAAAAATATTGTATAGATTTAAAGGTTAATTGAAATTAAGTAAATGAAAATAATTGATTATTATTTGGAGAAAAAAAAAAATTTGACCAACCCATAGGCCATGGGTAGCCCAACTATTAAGGGTGTTCAAAACCGGTCCAAAAACCCCTTTTCATGAACCGAACCGTTTTTTTGGATTAGGGAAATCTCTTAACAGGAATCGAACCGATTCTGGGGGAAAACCAGTTTTGAACCAAACCATTTTTTGAGTTAACCAGTTTTCCCCCAAAACAGTGTAAAATGTAAACTGTAAAACCACCTCTTACTACATGCATCCTTCATATTTTCCTTCACAATCTCATCATATCAACCAAACACCTCCTTTTACTTATAAAACCCACCTTTTTTTTTTTTTTTTTTTTTGCTACTGGGGTGTCTGAGCCAACTTACGCGCACCTCGACTAGTCCCTCAACCTGGAACAAGGCTTCCGAAATAGGGCAAACCTTGCGGTCCATGGCCAACAATATTAACAACCGTTCTTATGATTCGAACCTGAGACTACAAGGGGAGCAAATCCCTTGGCCCCAAGCCTTTACCACTCAGCCAACCCATTGTTGGTTAAACCCACCCAAATTCTCTCTCGTCCTTTTATTTTTACTTCTCCACAACTCTTAAGTTTTGTTTTTTATTTATTTTCTTTAAAGTTCCTAGCTTACAAGTTCTCGTTTTCGGGGTGAGTGGAGTTCATCATGGCTGTTGATTCTCCTAACCAAATAGACGTTGTCATTAAGATCGACGGTGATAAACAACAATCACCAACAACAACAACAAGATTTTGCGAGAGTCAAGTTATGATTTTTGGCAAGATAAAGACTAAAAAAAAAAAAAAAAAAAACAACAACATGAAGAAGAAGAATAAGGAAGAAGGGAAGAGTAGTGAAGAAGAGGGAGATTTTGATTTCATGCAATGTGGTGCAAGAATGAAAGATCCACCCTCGAAGTTGATTGGTCAGTTTTTGCATAAGCAGAATGCTTTAGGTGAGATCTCTCTTGATATGGACTTGGACATGGATGAGCTTTAACAACAAGGGTAGCTAGTGATTGAGAGAGTTACGAATTTGGGGATTTTGAGACTTGAGACTTGAGATCGAGACAGTTATGAATTTGGGGGTTTTGATTTTTTGCTATTTACCAATTTTGGCCATCTGTAATCGAATCGAAAAACCAGTTCAAAGAAATTCTTGAATCGAAACCAAACCAATTTCACTAAAAAACCAATTTTTTGGTCCAATTACCGGTTTAGTTCAGTTTACAAATTTTTTTTAACAGCCTTACTAGTAGGGGTGTTCAAAAGAACTGTTCGGAACTGGAACCGTTGGGTACCATGTGTTTGGTTCTGGTTCCTACCCAGAATCGATCGTTAAAGGGTAGGTTCCGGTTCCAAAAATCTGGAACCGACACTGTACGGTTCCGGTTCTGGCAGTCAAGAACGGGAACCGGAACCGAGAATCGGGATTGAAATGAAATGTTATTAAAGAGTGGGGGGTTATGTAATTTACCTGCCACATATAAAAACTTCAGATTAGGGCAAAAAAATTCATTTTCTTTC